ACTTGATAATTGAAGTAAATATTATTCAATCAAATATACTATTTTTGACACCATACTTCCCAACTCTCCCTTTCCCATTAGCTTCGAGTGCACCCATGAGACCTGGGTGACCGAGATTTGGCATGTGGGAAAACTATAAAACATGTTTATGAATTAAAACATTAGAAAACTCTTCTAACTAAAACATTTATACACGCTTTTTTGTTTCTCACATATAAATATAAAATCATTTGCAAATAAGTAAATGCAACTGAATTTCTACAAAATGAAACGTATGATATCAGATTTTTCCATATCTTTTACAATCCAAAATATGAAATAAATACATGATGAAGAAACATAAACTTTATAACAGAGAATAAAATACAACTATGGCACATATGATAAAATGAAGAGTGTGTTTGTTTTGTTATTTTAGGTAGGATTTTTGAAATAGTATTGTTGAGCTATGTTGAGTTATTATTATGAGAATAGGATTTAAATAAAATGTGTTTGGTAGAGTATTTTGACTTTGTTATTTGAGTTGAATAAATTGTTGAATATTTGTTTAGTATGTTTTTTTATAAATGATTTATTGATACAATATTTTGGTGCATTTCGTTAAAATAATTTATTATTATAACCTAAAAACTTATCAATTTGCATTTTAATAATATTAAGCATTTGATTGTTTATTTTGTAACCACTAAATTAAAAACAAATTTCCCATATTAATTTCAAGTACTAATCCAACTGTTTAAAAACAACACATTAATATACATATGACAAAACTACAGATTATCAACCCTTAAAATCGTTTGTATATCTATACTTCATTAACAACTAAAGAATAAAGAAGGAAAAAAGAAAAAAAGAAAAACACTTGCAGATGGCAGGTGGAAGAAAGGGTTGTAACGGTGGTTGGTGGTTGGAAGAAGACAAACTAAAGAAATAAAGAAAAAGAAGAAGAAAGAAATAAAGAAGAAGAAGAAGAAAGAAATAAAGAAGAAAAAGAAAGGAAGCTGAAAAATGGATTAAAGATATTGCAAATGCTCAGTGAGCTAGAATTGCTCAGTGAGTGGGGAGTGAGAGAAAACACAGAGAGTTAAGAAAGGAAGCTGAGAAATGGATTAAGGACATTGCAAATGCAAACATCATGGGGGTAATACTTATTACCACCATGGTTTTCATTGCAGCTTGCACAATACCTGGTGGCACTAATGAAGAAATAGGGGCTCCAAATTTTGTTCAAAGAGCTTCCTTCATAGTTTTTGCGATATCAGATACTGTAGCATTACTATTGTCCTATTTCTCCATACTAATGCTCATAACCGTTCTCTTCCCATTGTGAAAAAGTAGATTTCCTTTCGCAGGTGCCTTTTGATTGGGCTTGGGGATTAACCTCACTTCTTTTCTCAGTAGAAGCAATGGTGGTAGCGTTTTGTGCAACTATGCTCATCGTTTTCAAAGATGGGATGTTATAGATTCCTATTCTTGTTGCGGTAATGTCTTTTTGCACAATCTACAAGCCTCGATAGAATTTGGATTGGTTTTGGAGATCTAATGCATATTGCCCTTATACTAGGTGAGAGTTTTTTAAAAGAAGAGAAACAACTCACCATATCACAAAAAATCATGGCGGCATTATTTTATGAAATATGAGTATTTATGTTTTAGCTCTCATTATCTATATCAATGTAATACAATAAACGAGTCACTCTATTGTTTTACTCCTATTATTTATTGTAGCATGATTTTACAATAATTATTTTTTATTTTTCTTTTAAGAAAAAATAAAAACCTTAAATAAGGTACCCAAGTACAAATTTTATTTGACACGAACTTTTTTCGTAAAAAAGCATTAGCGTTAATTCCTTATAACCAATGTTTAACACTCATCTTTGTGGCCATTAATCTAACAAAATATTAATTTTGTAGGATTAGAACCATATCTTACAAATAAGAGTGAGAAAAAAGAAAATACAATAGAATATTTTTATGAAATCTTCAATTCTACAAATAAATATAAAAGTGGTATTTATGGTAGGATGAAATACAAATTATATAAAAAATAAAATTAACATTTAAGTGAATAAATCTTATCAATTATAATATTATCTTTATAGTATAATAATAGTTATTAAAAGATAAAATCCTTATCAATTACATAAAATCCTTTTTTCTGTATATTTATAGAACCTAAAAATAACATGTGTATAAATTTATTGTGAATTTAATGTGTCTCACACGGGAATTTAATTAGACATAATGTTTTTCCTTAGAGGTGTTTCTTTATGGGTCAACACACGTATATACTATATACAATTGTTAGGGTCAAAAACACTTTTTCCATAAGGACATCCTAATCTTTTACTTTCATAATCGTCCTTCAAACTCACAAACGTTACTGTTAAAATTAACAGAAAAGGGTATATTCGTCTTTTTATAGCTGAAAAATAAAATACTATTATTTAAAAATAAATAATTAATATATATATCTCTTAAATCACAGCGGCAAAAACCCGGCAGCCACGCCATCCCTCTCGCCAGGCCACCACTCCCACCGAAAACAGCATCACAAGTCACAACTAATAATCTTAACCCTTTAGGGCCAACAGCTTCACAAAATTCTAAATTTACAATGTTTTGTAAAGTGAAAAAAAATCTCAATCACCAAATCCCAGCAACGAAGGGTCGGGTGTGGTGGAGGCGATGGCAGTGGAGTGAACTGAAGATTAGGAGGGGTAGGGGTTGCGAGGTCGGACATAACGGGTGGGTTGTAGGCAACGGGTAGGTTGCGTAGGGGAGCGGCTGTGATGGGGCGTGGGGGTGGATATGCACGACCTGCGCACTAGCGGAGCCGTGGTTGGCGACGATAGCCGTGGGGCAAGTGAAGAAACGAATCTGATGGTTTTGTTTAAATGGGTAAAAATTATTGGTTTTGCTGTGCGGTTTGTGGTGGATTTTGTTTCAAATGAGTTGTTGTGCTGGATTATTGATTTGAATATAACCAATGCATGCGATTTAGATTGCTTGTGTCTGGTTTCTAATCCTGGTTTTCTTTTTCAATTTCTGTTACAGGGTTTTTACTTTTTATCTCTGGAATTTGTCATTTAAGTGGATTGTGCTCTGTTTAATTTGAAGAAAAAAACTCTCTTTGTGGTTTTTTCCTGCTTTACTGCTTTTGTTCCTCTACATAATGTGGCTCTTAAAGGTGATTGGAATTCGCAAGAGAGTGGATTTTGAATCCACAAGCAGTATGTGCCAAGATCACAAGAAAACAGGAAACTTCTCCATTTTGCTGCAGGAGCTAGACATGCAGTATTTGTACAGGAGCTTGTAAATATCATGACACCTGAAGAACTGGCGCTGCAGAACAAGGTTGGGAACACAGCTCTCTGTTTTGCGGCTTTTGCTGCCATATCTGGAATCAAGAAGATTGCAGAGGTGATGGTTAATAAGAACAAAATGTTGTCATCGATTCGAGGCAGTAAGGGAGCAACAGCATTGTTTATGGCTGCTTTGTTAGGCCACAGAGAAATGGTCTGGTATCTTTGTTAATTGACAGAGGCAGAGTATCTAAAAGAAGAAGATCGAATTGAACTTCTTGTTGCTGTCATCAATGCAGGCCTTTATGGTTATTACCTTCACTATTTTCTTGTAGTTTTCATCAGATCTCATTCATTGTTGCAACATTATATCTTCTTGAGGAGCAAATTGATGATGCTTGTCTTGTGTTAATTTGACAGATGTGGCCTTGGATTTAATTAAGCATCATCCTGAATTAGCTTCAGCTCGAGATGGAAAAGGAGAGATGGCTCTTCATATATTGGCACGGAAGCCTTCCACAATTGTTAGTGGAAGTCAGCTTGGAAAAGGAGAGATGTATTGGCACTATTTTGCTCCGCCACTTCAATATTGATGTTCCTCTCTATTGTCACCTCGGGCTATGCAGAAGAAGATTTCCTGCATTCATTACCAAACAGACTGATGATAGGGCTTGCAGCTCTCTTCGTCTCAATAGCCACCAAGATGGCAGCATTTGGAGCCACTCTTTTCATTGCTCTTAGTGATGACTTTGCTTAGGTAGCCATTCCAATGGCTACTATTGCGTATGTTCCTGTCACCCTATTTGCGCTGCTCCAATTCCCCCTTCTTTCTGATGTGATTAGTCATTTGTATAACTCCAGTCCAAATCATCACTTGCATTGCTCATTGCAAAACAATCTTTTCATTTAAGTTATCAAATCATGAACAAATCCGGAGAACATTTAATCTAGTTGCTCTTGCTCAATCATTCAAACGTAAAACTTTTGGGCTCTGTTTGGTTTACAATTTTGTGTTTTTGGGAAAAGTTTTTTGAAAAAAGTTAAAAAAAAAAAGTTGAATTGGGCGGGTATTACGATGTAGAATTTACAAATTATAAAATACTCCCTATGTTTGTTTTTTTACAAAACACCCCTTATAATAAAACATTAAAAGTTAATAAAAACACCCCCAATCCACCTTCAAATACGGACAGCCGGCCACCACCGCCGGAGGGTGACCGGAGTCGTCGTAACAAAAACATTAAAAATATTTAGGGGTATTTAATTGAATTAACAAATTTAGGGGGTTTAAAAAATATTGAATAAAGTTGAATAATATTGTGAGTTTTTGGATATTTTACTGTTTAACTTTTTTTGGAATACTAAAAATAGTATTCCCAAAATCTAACCAAACAAAGCCTTGATATCTGGTATCTGCTTTACCTGACTAGAGGTCTTTCTTTATGAGTCGATATATGTACAGTATATACAGTTGTTAGGGTCAAAAGTATTTTAGTCCATATGGTCTCGGTCAACTTCTCAAGGGCATCTTACTCTTTTTACTTTCAAAATCCTCCTTCAAACACGCAAACGTTATTGCGAAAATCTCAACCAAAAAAAGGGTATATTCGTCTTTTTATAGCTAATTAAACTTTTCAGATAGAATATAACGAAATATAAGTTTATTTCAAAAATAAATGCATAACACCTAAATTCTAAATCACCGCGGCAAAAACCCGGCAGCCACGCCATCGCTGTCGTCAGGCCACCACTCTCCACCAAGAACAGCATCATATCTATTGATTTCCATTGACTCACCTCTACCCTTGAAAGCCAACAGCTCCACGAAATTCTAAATTTATAATTTTTTGTATAAAGTAAAAAAATTCAAAATAAAAACTCAAAATCACCAAACCCTATCAACAAAGGGTCGGGTGAGGTAGAGATGCGACGGGAGTGGAGTGAGATGGAGGTTGCGAGGTCCGACCTAACGGGTGGGTTATGGGCAACGGGTAGGTTGCATGGGAGAGCGGCTGTGATGGGGTGGGGCCGTGGGGGGCTGGATATGCATGACCTGCGCACTAGCGGAGTCGTGGGGCAAGTGAAGAAACGAGTCTGATGGTTTTGTTTAAATGGGTAAAAATTATGGGTTTTGCTCTGCGGTTTATGGTGGATTTTGTTTCAAATGAGTTGTTGTGCTGGATTATTGATTTGAATATAACCAATACATGCAATTTAGATTGATTTTGTTTTTGGTGGAGGATCTAATCCTGGTTTACTTTTATTCTTGTAGCTCTTTTTCAATTTCGTTGTTACAGGGTTTTTAGCTCTGGAGTTTGTCTTTTAAGTTGATTGTGCTCTGTTAAATTTGAAGAAACAAACTCTGTTTGTGGTTTTTTCTTTTTAATTATTATTTCAAGTTTTTCTCAAGGGTTATCTTGGCCTTTATACAGATGATTTTGTATTAGGTGACAAAATCCCTAACAGTCAGCCAGTAAAAAATTAAAATAATTGAAGTAAAAAATTAGGTGACAAAATACAAAAAAGTTTGAATTAGTTTTTTTTCATAGTTAAATATCATCTTGCTGTTCCTTCAGCCTCAGTATATGATATTGTTTCTCTTACTCTTCAGGCCCTTCTTCTAAATAAGCTAGCTGCAGATTGCATCCAAGGTGTCAAAAGAGGTAGAGTCTTTCAACCCATTTCTTCTTCTTCTTCTTCCTTGATTTGTGGAGTCTTTAAGTTAAGTCCATTAATTTGTATTTTTCAGTTTACTATATCTGTCTACATTGCCAACATATTGATGATTGAATTTATAGTAGCTAAGATCTGGAAGTACTTGACATAAATGATTGTTATTCTATAATATTCATTCCCAATTTGAATCCAGTTTAGCTAAATCTTCGAACACTCATTCTATGAAGTCATTATGAAGTCAAAGATTTTATTTATTTTTTCTTTCATCTTTACCTAGAAAATCACTTCTCTCTATGGAAAAATTACATTTTCTCCCTTGAGATTTCACATTATTAAACAAACCCGCATGTTTCTTTATGTACATGACCCGATCCGTTAAAATGGATTGAAATGATAGATACTCGCAAAAATGATGATGATGATGATAATAATAATAATAACATAAGGTTCATCTTATGATACTAAATTCATTGTCTAATACTAACACATTGTAAGGTACATTGTAGATTTACAACGAATAACGAGCAAATAAATAATGAAGGATAATGTTGAAGTACCTCAACTGAAGAAAATGTCGAGATTGTGATTGCTCCACCTCATAAAAAAATGGATGGTTCGTTTTTTTTTTCCCTTTGTATATTAAGATACATTTTCTGAATACCCTTTTACAAATTTCATATCCAAGGGCTAATGTGATATACACTTCCTAAGTTTGTTAATGTCGTTCATTTCTGATTATATGAACTTTTTTGTTTTTTGATACCCTAAGAGGTGAAGTCTTTTTATTATATGATTGTAGCATCATAATTTTGATAAGTTCATATGTCGGCTTATTTTCTCAAGTAAATAAAATCGTAATGTGTTTCATTGGATTAATCAATATTATTTTTTCCCTATTGGATTTTGGCACAAAGATTGCAAGGTTGTTGTGTGAAACGAGAAATAGACGCTTCATATTGTATCGGGCTGCACTGGAAGGTGATTGGAACAGAGCTGAAAAAATTTACAATGTACATAAAATTGACCTAACTACCAAGCTATCAAAGGAAGGGGACACAGCTCTCCATATAGCAGCTGGCAAAGCACACTGGTTTTGTGAGAAAGCTTCTTGAACAGATGAAAATAGAGGATTTAGCTATCAAAAATAATGCCGGTAACACAGCTTTTTTTCTTGCTGCTGCGTCTGGAGAGGTTGAAATCATCAAGGCCATGATGAAGAAGAATGGAGACTTAACAAAGAACCTAGGTAATAATGGCATTTTACCACTTCACAAGGCAGCTCTGATGGGAAACAAAGAGATTGTACAATACCTTTATGGAGCCACTCAAGATGAAAAATTAGATAATGATAATGATCGCATCGAATTGCTTATCAGCCTGGTAAACCGCAGCTTGTATGGTAAGTAGTATTATTTATATTGGGCCTATTAGACTTTTAAACATCCATTGGTAGCATAAATATCTGACATGATAGTCTTGTGGTATTCTAGATCTTTCCCTCCATATTAATTTTGGCTTGGTGAGTACAAGTTTGAAAATGGCTTTTATTGTTTGATCATATTGGTGCGGATCCAATTGATATTGTAGGGTATAATCTATATTTTTTATGATGTAGATTGTTGTATTACTAGATATTGCGCTGGATTTGGTACAGAGGCACCCAGAGCTAGCCACTGCACGAGATAAAAATGAGGAGATAGCATTGCACTCCTTGGCTCGAAGGCATGTATTGACACGTGTTGTTGATCTAACAGCACATGGAGTTTTGAAGAAAATTTTTAATATGTGTTAGTCCTCTCTAATCTTTAACACCTTCAGAATGTTATAATTAGTTCTTATTCCTTTTTATTTTTTTATTTTTTATTTTGTTTGGAAAAACATTATTTTTTTCTTTGAACTTGATTGATTAGATGTTCCTCAACCAACTACCGTAGGAAGTAAAGGAAATTTTGCATCCACTGGATGCTGAAGCTACAAATGTAGAAGGGAAAACAGCTAGGGCTATATTTACTGAACAACACAAAGAGTTAAAGGATAAAGCTGAGAGATGGATTAAGGATACTGTAAATTCTTGCTTGATGGCAGCAACAATTATTGCCACTGAGGTTTTTGCAGCAGCTTTAAAAGAAACAGGCGGCTCCAAAGAAAAGACTGGGACTCCTCATTTTGTTCAAAGAGCTTCCTTCATAATTTTTGCCATATCAGATGCCATAGCGCTAATATTATCCTCTTACTCCATACTAAGGTTCTTATCTGTTATCTGTTCCCGATATGCAGAAGAAGATTTCATTTCGCCATTACCTCTGTTTTTGGGTTCTGGATTAGCAGCACTTTCTCTATCAATATCAGCAATGATGGAAGTGTTTTGTACGACTATGTTCATTGTCTTCAAAGATGGGATGCTGTGGATTCCTATTCCTGTTACGGTAATGGCTTATTTCATGAGCTTCATGTTCTTGGAGAAAGTTCTAACTATCATTGAAGATGTAGTGCGTTTTAGCAATAATAACAGGAGTTCACTCTTCAAGTCCTCTGCTGAAGAGCCTTTTTAAAGGTGGGAAGAAACTCGATGTACCTTAACAATTAGAATAGTACTTAACAAGGGCGTATTGGGCGCGCAGAATACGAGCCAAGGGCCCTGTTGTGGACCGCCCAGCACTCGGGCGCTTTTATCTTATAGATTATGAGTTTGTATGATTAGAGCCATGTCTCGTACAAATAAGAGTGATTCTTCTTATGATGAATGCTACTTATATTTTTAACTTTATTAGTCTTTTGGAAAATTAAAAATACAATAGAATATTAGGATGGAATTTTTAATTCTATAACCAAAAGCAGCATTTGTAGTAAGATGAAACGTAAATCATAAAAAATTGAAAATTAATATTTAAGTGAATAAATCTTATCAAATATAAAATTATCTTTCTTGTACTGAATAATATTATTCAATAATTATTCATTTTATTAAAACTTCGAAATTTATATTATTAGAACGCCCACAAGTACTTTCTAATCAAGGACAATGTAAATTATTTTAAGATAAATGATTCTAATAAATGAAAAAAATAAAAAACTTAATTTACTTACCCGTTTACGTACCATAATCCTATTTTCCTTTACATCTTCTTTCACTAATTATGCACTATTAATTAAACATCAAACTCCTTGTCAAGTTGTATGCTAAGGATGTAAATTTGAAAATCAATAATGAGACACAAGAATTCTTTGCAACATAATAAAACAAGAACAAGTGTTACATTGAAGTAATATTTCAAATTTAAAGATAATTTAAGAAGTATTAATTTAAGAACATTTACATATATTAATAATTGGATATAAAACTTTGAATAATACAATTTAAATGCTGTAGAAATGAATAATCTTAATAATAAACAAGATAAGTACTAAATAAAAATGAAAGATATTACATGTTGATGTTTGATTTTGACACCAACAACTTCACACGTATAAAATACTATAAAATTACACGTGAGATAATTATAGTAAATAAGTAAGGTACTGTGCATGCAAAGACGTAAATAATAAAAGAACTCAAGGTAATGATTACACTTTTACAAATAGATTGGTGCCATGCAAATCTCTCATGCACTCTCATTCGTTGAAAACTTAAAGAATATCCTTAAATTAAATAGGTTTTGAATAGGTGTGTAAACCAAATTTATACATAGACAAATACTTGAGTCGGTTGGGTTGTTGACAACTATATTCTTTTCATCTTCGAAGACATGGTAGATCTTGGACGGTGCAAAGATTTCTTGAACTCTGATTGGTGTTCGTTGACATCAACTTAAGTTAGCCCTGATTTTAGGCATAACATTACAAATACATATTTTTCAAATACAATTATAAGGGTACAATGACAAAGTATGGAATACAATAGTGAATTAGAAGTCAGTATTATGCAATAAATGTATAGCATCATTCATGCAGAAATTAAATATTATCATGTGGTGAGTTTCTATGTCAAAAAGAGATTAGGTTGATGGATCCACTCATCCATAAAATATGGATATAAGCTCATGCGATTCATGTTTATAGCCCCACACTTTGGTTAAGGGCTCCACTTAATTTGACTTGACGTGGTGTTTCGCTAGCTGTTTCTTGCCTCCACACATATCCATATGACATAATATTATCAAATAAGATAACATTTAATTTTTTATGTGAATTTTGGGTTACTTTTTGGGATATGCAGTATTGATAGTTAACTAATTACCTCTCAATCGTTTATACTATAAGGAAAAATATTTTTTCTTCAGATTCACAAAAGACACATTAAGATATTAGAAGACAAAACATTTAACATTGCCATCTATTAGAAATTATAATTTTTCTGTCTTTTATAGATATTATTACATTGTAGATAAGTAAATATTTTATGATCTTTTAGAGACACATTTTAAAACAAACAAATATTAAATTGTGTCGGTAAGCATAATCAATGATCAACATGATTGCGTAATATTCTCGATTGTTTCGTAAGAAATATTTAAGCTATGTGTTTCAAAAGGAGGGGGTGAAGCCATGCCACTGTAATATAAAACTTAAGATAATAGTTAAAGGTAATAGCATTATTGATGTCCAAAATTAATTAAAAATCATATTACTCTCTTTTAGAAAGTATCATCACATGTTTTTCTAGTTTTGACTTAGAAAAATGCCATCCTTACAAAAACTTATACAAAGAAGGTTATAAAGTGATATCATCCAAAAAAAAAAAATAAAAAAACAAAAAAAAAAAGAAAGAAAGAGAGAGAGAGAAATCATGAAAATCAAAGGTGAAGATTACCTTTATATGCTTTCTTTATATGTGTCTTTATAAAACTAGTATTACTGTTTGACTTATGTCTCCACTTATTGATTTGAGGAGGGGCACGTGTTACGATTTTTCTATCTAATTAGCCCCACACTTCTCAATAATATCATCTACCTGCTTCTATTTTAAACACATCTGTACTATACTTAATGGTTCCCGGATTTTGAGGCCTTTTTTTAAGTATAACAAGTGACTTTTCCTGAGCCCCACGCTTTTAATATCATCTAATAATATGTATTTTTTATTTTGAAAATGAAGAGAATTGAAGATAGAGAATTATTTTTAGTGGTAAGGTTAATTTGACGGAAATTTTTAAGTGTATTATTTAAAAGGTTTTAAGTTTGATTTTTTTTTAAACTGTTAATAAATATAATCATTAGAGTTTTTATCTGACTGATAGTTTCAGAATTCTAGAAAATTAGTTAAGATATACGTAACTGACACATACACTCTTACCAATTAAAAATAAAGAATAAAGTACTTGTAAAATAAATTGACCTTCTTCTAGATTTAGAATAATGCTTTTAATTTAAAATATTAGAAAGAAATGTCTTGGAAAGAAGAGAAAATGTGTTGTATGATGATTTATAATCTTTTAATTTTTTTTTTCATGAACTATCTGGAAGGTCCAGTTAACTTTTTAATATAGCATCAAATATCATCTGTGAAGAATTTCAAATAAATATGTTTCAGCATGATTTTTTTTATATGATATCTTTAAAAGTTAATATTCACATATTATACGAATTGCAAATCTCCTAGTAAAACAAACCTTTACGTTAGCAAGTTGTGATGTAATAGATATGATTTAAAATTGATTAGAAAATGATGTAATATTTATGGTTTAATATTTTACAAGTATTGAGAGAGAAAGATTAAAAAAAGCAAAAAACCCTAAAAGTTTTGAACCTTGTGATACACGTTGAATAAGATATATATATTTTTAATTAAAATTTAACTGTGCCTTGACTTGACGTCATTCTTCATCTATAAATATCATAGCCCTCTTTTCTTTGTTAGTGTCCAAGCTTAATTTTCCTCTCCACACTACTCCACTTACGACTTTCTTTCCAAATTTGCCTTTTCTCTTATTGCATCCCAACCCCAACTACCCAAAGAGGTAACTCTTTTACCTGTTCTCTTTTTTTATTTTTCCTTCTTTAGCTGGCGGGGTTGGTTTTATTTTCACGTTATTTTCGGATAATTTTTCTCTGTGTCTCTCTTTTAAGTGTATATGATGTGCTGGTAGGGATGTCGAATCATGAAGTGAGAATTAACATCGTACCAGAGGTTGAGTTACATGCCAAGAAAGATGTGCTTGTGACATCTCCTTTGCAAGAACAGGCTGGTATGATTCAATATTACCTTACAAATACATGTTATATTATTTTATTTTTTAATAAATAATCCAATGTTTGAGCATAATCTAATTCATATTATTAAACTTGTTAAATAATTGCTTTGGTAAATTGATTTATTTCATTAGTTATTTATTATAAGCACATAAGAAATATCACAAAATGTTAATTAATGAAAAAGTGAGGGATACAACAGCTGCAGGAAATGATTGTACTGAAGAAAAAGATAACAGTGGGAAATCACCTCTTCCTCAAGACCTGTCTAGTAAGTATTGATATTACCTTCCAATTATTTTATTTTATTTTATACTTTCACAGATGCATTGTTTTGAGCAGCCTTTCATTTATTTACATAAAGAATTAGGTAGAATGAGTTGCTTCCTTACATAAAACTTGTTCTTGTTTCACATTGACAGATAATCAAAGCATAAATGAAGACTTTAAAAAATTGTACAAAGCTGCATTGAAAGATGAATGGAACGCAGCTTATAAGGAAGTTTTTAAAGGAGATCCGTTGCAAAATTCAAAATATTTAACAGCTAGGATATCAGAAAAACAGGACACTGCACTTCACATTGCAGTTACGGCAGAGTCCTCTATGTTTGTCAAAAAAACTGGTAAATTTTATGCAGAAAGACGATTTGGCTATTAAAAATGGTGATGGCAATACTGCTTTTTTTCTTGCTGCTGAATCCGGAATGGTGGGATTTGCCAAGATTATGGTTGAGAAGAATGAAGAATTACTAGGTATCCGTGGAGGTGGAGTCAAGGAGATGTTACCAATTCATATAGCAGCTCAGCATGGCCATGAAAAGATGATGGAGTTTCTTCACAGCGTAACTAAAAACATGACAGGAAAGGACAAGAAAAAATTACAAGATCTGACCAATGGAAAAGATTTGTTTGGTAAGCATGAACTATTCCTCATATTCAAATTATGTTTTTTTATACTTTTTATTCAATTATTATTAGTATAAAACATATTTGTTGAAATCAGGAAATATGAATGAAGTCATTAAAATGCATTGAATCAACGAGTAAAACTATACTGTTGTAGTACAATAGTTTTACCTTATAAATTTAAATCATAGATTTATGCTAAAATATTGTAAACCACAAAGTTGTAAAGTCTAGTTTCCTCGGAAAAGTTAGTCTTATAAATTAAATACATGAAATTTCTTACAGGGGAAGCGAGGGTTGATAATGCACCCGAAAATGTGTTACATGAAAAAAAATGACGAGCATGTGATAAAACCTCCTCAAGAAGAGTCAGGTATAGAACTTTTTTAATTACTCCATCTATCATTTTACATCAAAACCAGTTTGAATGAATTTATTTTAATATTGTATAAAACTTTTTGTTAATAATTTTACCTTTACAGATGAACATGAGATACATGGAAAACTATATAGAGCTGCATTGAAGAATGAGTGGTACACGGCTTATCTGTTTTTTGAGAAAGATCGAGAGAAAAATTCAAAATATGCAACTGATATTATATGAGATAAGGAGGATATTGCTCTCCACATCGCAGCTGTAGCAGGTTCCTATATGTTTATCAAAAGACTGATGAATTATATGACAGTAGAACAATTGGCTATTAAAAATGGCGATGGCAATACTGCTTTTTTTCTTGCTTCAAAATGTGGAAGGTGGAAATGTGCCAAGGCAATGTTCAATAAAAATAAAAAGTTGCCAAATATCCGCGGAGATGATGGCATGTTACCAATTCACACGGCAGCTCAGCAGGGCCACAAAGAGACGGTGAAATTCCTTTATGGTGTCAGTGAACATGAATTAACACAAGAGGATTGCAAGGATTTGCTTCCCCATCTAATTAATAGAGCTGATTGGTTTGGTAAGCATCCTTTACACATATGAGTAGACTAACGACATGTCTATATAAACCCAACAAATTACTTTCCATAACCAAGTTTTAATAAAATTTAATTATTAAAACCAAACATAAGTTAAAATTATATATATAACAAAGCATAATGTACATGATTGGCAACCAGATTTGACAAAAATAATAACCAACTAATTTTTTGCTAAAATATGTTTTTAATATTAAATTTTTAATTAAATTATTTTAAGTATGTTATAGGATACGTATCTTTTGAAATTGAATACATCATATATTCAATTAATCAATAATAGAATAACCTTAGCCTTCAACGATATCACAAATGACTTCTTGATATTGGTTGTTTTTTCCTAGGTTTTGCGATGGATTTGCTAAAGAAATACCCAATTTTAGTCAATGTTAATTTATTGAACGGGAGGACGGGAAAGGAAACAGTTTTGCATGTCTTGGCTCGAACACCTTTGATGTCTCATGACTTGTCCAATCAAAATCAGGAAGGACTTGTCAAGAGATGCTTCAACAAATGTCAGTATTTCTAATCCTTTAACACTTTTTGATTTATTATCTAAATTCCCGTTTCCATTTAAACCTCTGTTGACCTTATAAAATTTGCAGTTTCTGACATAGAGAAGTTGCCTGTAGTGACTAATTAGGGCTCTCAACTATGCTAATCAAATCAATCAGTGAGCAAACACAATCTTATCAAGCAATAGAATCAAAGATTAAGTAAAGCATGAAACAAAACAGAAAAACAATTGACACAGGGGATTTATAGTGGTTCGGCTAAGGAAGCCTACATCCACTCTTCAAGGCACACTATAGGATATTTCATTAATTAAGAGAACCAAAGGTTACAAAGAGTAAACAATCAAAGAATAACAAGAAAGAACACACCCGTTTCAGCCCTCTCTCTACACCCTCTGTATTCGCACAAAATGGTCAGAAATTTATACACATCAAGACCCCATTGATCATCTTCCAGCTGTCTAGAAAGATCTGTAGTTTGTTAGAGCAGAGGAGCACTGGAATCTTCTGTCGTTAGAGTTGAGAAGGAACCAGGAAAAGAAAAGCGGTGAGCTGTGAGTTTGTTGCAACGAAATGAGATGCGTGTGCAGCAATAAGGGCACTTATCTTTGATATCCAAAACGACACCGCATCAGCTTAAACTTAAATTCATTTCCTTTGACTGAAGTTGACTCCACCGTGGCAATTTCAAGCCACATCATCATCACATTGCCCCATGAAAAACTGCCCAAAGAAGCACTTGAACTACTCAAACTCCTTCTGGACAAAGTAGATTGTCGTGACGACTGGATGAATGGAGTAATACATGATGCTGTCAGACACGAAAACATTGAATTTTTAAGCTTGATTATTTGTAATTATTCAGAGTTCATGAATTGCAAAGCTAAGTGAGATACAAATACATCTGGCTTAATATTTTCCAATGCTATTTTGAAACGTCAGAAGGATATCTTCAAACTGCTAAACGGTGTACCTCCATCATTTGAGAAACAAATACTTAACTATAAAGATGATGAAGGAAACAATTGTAGAATATTACGTATGTAATATAATGCGGAATTTAATCACTTACCTCCAGCCATATTGTTCAAGTGTATTGAATGATTTGTGAGTGAATATTTGAGAGATGTCTCTAGCCTATGCCTCCAAATCTTATTCTTTCTTTGTGTATTTGATATGTCTTTGATGGAGAAGATAAATTATATATGGCTAGGCTAGGGACCAAGTAACTCCCATCAACTGCCTTTTAACCTCCCATCAAAGATCAAATGAGGCAGTTAATAACTCTTTTAAACCACCTTGAACTGCATATTGTGGCATGTGGCCACATCAGTCTTACATTCTCCACTGGCCTCATGCCGCAATTTGGAAAATACTATATAGGTGATTAATCCGAATAGGCCATAATATGAGTTATAGCAAGCATTACTTACATAAAAGCTCAATACATGAATGATGGCGGTCATATCCTTTAAATCAACACTCCCTTCCATCTATTACAATGCATGATATTTATATAAGTACTTTATGAGTTTCTTAAATTTATGAATGAACTTCCTATAAGTCATTCGTGGTCCACTTTATTTGACATTTAACTTATGTGCACAAAAAATGTAATAGATAACAGTATAGTCAAAATATCGAATAAGGTCATAGATACAAATGTAAAAGTTAACTTATACATCAAATGAACTAACTAGCCCCATACGATCCACATGATCCTTAAATACTTTAACCGGCAATCCTTTGGTCATGGGATCGGCGACCATTAATTCTGTACCGATGTGTTGGATATCCACCTTTTGCTCTTAACATGACCTCTAACTGAAAGATATTTTATATCTATATGTTTGCTGCGACTACTACTTTGTTATTCTTTGAGAAGAAAACGGCAGCTGAGTTATCACAATAAATCTTTAATGGCCTTGCAATATAGTCGATAACTCTTAAACTAGATATAAAGTTTCTCAACCATAAAGCTTGTGATGTAGCCTCATAACACGCAATGAATTCTGCTTCCATTGGGATGTTGCATATATTTTGCTTAGTGCTTTTCCAAGATAAAGCACCGTTAGCAAGATAAATATATCCAGAAGTAGACTTCTTAGTATCTTTACATCCACCAAAATCAGAATCTGTATACCCAATCACCTCCAAAGATAGAGTGTTTGTATGTAAGCATGTAATCCTTGGTTCCTTGTAAATAACGCATAACTTTCTTGGCAGCTTTCCAATGTTCAAGGCCTGGGTTACTTTGATATCTACCCAACATTCCTACTGCATACCCTATGTCAGGTCTGGTACAAACTTGAGCATACATGAGTTTCCCCACCGCTGAAGCATAAGGTATTTTATTCATCTCCTTGAACTCCAATGAGTTATTTGGACATTGTTCCAAACTGAATTTATCTCCTTTAACAATAGGAGCTGGTGATGGTGAACAATTTTGCATCCGAAAACTTTCCAAAATCTTTTCGATGTAAGTCTTTTGAGATAAACCTAAAAACCTTCTAGATCTATCTCTGTGAATCTTATGCCAATGACATAAGAGGCTTCACCCATATCCTTCATCTCAAAATTTTGAGAAGAAATCTTTTGGTGTCATGATAGACCCAAATCACTGCTTGCAAGTAAAAAATATCATCCACATATAGAATTAAAAGATAAACTTGCTCCCACTGGTTTTAAGATAAACACATTGGTCCACAATATTCTCAATGAAACCAAATGAAAAATAACATTATGAAACTTGTGTACCACTGATGAGATGCTTGCTTAAGTCCATAAATGGATCTATTCAACTTGCATACTAGCTTATCCTCATTACAGAAACCTTCTGGCTGTTTCATGTATACCTCCTCATAAGATCTCCATTTAGAAGGCTGTTTTCACATCCATTTGATGTAACTCCATGTCAAAATGAGCTACTAATGCCATGATGATTCTTAACGAATCTTTCTTTGAAACTGGAGAAAAGGTTTCATTGTAATCAATGCCTTCCTTTTGTGTGAAACCCTTGGCCACCAATCTTGCTTTATATCGTTCGATATTACCATAAGCATCTCTTTGGTCTTATAGACCCATTTACAACCAATGGTTGTTGCTCCTGGTGGTAATTCGACGAGTGCCCAAACTTGGTTTTTGGCCATTGATTCCATTTCTTCTTTCATGGCATTATACCAAAGGAGGGATTTTTCTCCATCCATGGCTTGTGAAAATGAAGTGGGATCTTCATTTAACTGATCATCAAAATCAGTATCTTGAAGGTATACATATAATCATTAGAAATCGCTGGTTTCCTTACTCTTGAAGATCTTCTAATTTAACTGTTTCATCCATAATATTTGATTTTGGACAACAGTATCATTATTAGTTGAATCCTCATGATGCGACTGATTAGGAATTTGTTCATCTTGAGTCAATTGATCTTCTAAATTAACTGAATCATTTTGAACAATATCAATTGATTATCTTGAAAAGATGAACTCGGTTCCTTAATTTCCTCAAACTGTACTTTATGAGGAATGTCACTCCCACTAAATTCAAGATCTTCAAGGAATTTTGCGTTTCTAGCTTTGACAATCATAGGTGCGTGAAAAGGACAAAAGAATCTGAACCCTTTAGACTTCATTGGATAACCAATGAAATATCCACTAACAGTTCGGGTCCAATTTCTTAACATTTGGATTATAAACCTTTACTTCTGCGGGACAACCCAAATGTGTAAATGCCTTAAACTAGGTTTCCAACCAACCCATAATTCAAAAGGAGTTTTAGGAACTGCTTTTGATGGAACCCGATTTAAGACATATACTGCTGTCTTTAACGCCTCACTCCAAAACTTTAATGGAAGATTAGAGGTACTACGCATACTTCTTACCATGTCATAAGAGTACGATTCCTTCTTTCTACCACACCATTTTGTTGCGGTGTTCCTGGCATGGTGTATTGTGCAACAATACCCTCTTCTCGAAGAAATTTTGCAAATGGACCTGGCATTTGACCCTTTTCTGTATATCGTCCATAATATTCTCCACCCCTATCTGACCTTACAACCTTTATTTCTTTTCACTTTGTTTCTCTACCTCTGCTTTGAATACCTAAAGGCATTTATAGCCTCTGATTTATCAAACAAAAAGTAAAGATACATGTATCTAGTATGGTCATCTATGAAAGAGATAAAATCTCTGTCCATTTAGACTAGGTATAGGAGAGGGTCCCATATATCTGTATGTATGATCTCTAATTTATTAGTACTTCTTCTAGCTCCTTTCGTAGCTCTATTAGTTGTCTTTCCCTTTATACAACCAATACAAGTATCGAAATTAGTGAAGTCAAGAGTTTGTAAAACTCCATCATCCACCAACCTCTTAACTCTTTGTATAGAGATATGTCCCAATCTCTTATGCCACAACTTAGAGGAATCCTCTTAATGATACAACGTTGCTGCCATTCCCTCATGCACGTCATAAGACTATGCTCAAATGCAGGATCTAGATCAAACTATACAAACCATCAAGTAATTTTCCATATCCAACAGTAACATGGTCTTTTAGAATTTCAAAAATTGAATTACTAAAAGTAAATACATAACCAAGTTTCACCAGTCTGGATACTGAAACTAAATTTCTAGAAAACGATGGAATATAAAAAGTATTATCAAGATCCAATACATATTAGAATTTAGAACAAGTCTAAAAGTCCCCACAGCTTCCACTTCAGAACGCATCCGATTGCCTGAATAGATGCTTTGTTCATTCCCCACTGGTTTCCTCAGGTTTAGGAAGCCCTGCATGGTAGTGGAAATGTGAATTGTACAACCCGAATCAATCCACCAGTATCATTAGGAGCATCAACAAAATAAGATTCATGACATACATATGAAAGAAATATACCTTTCTTCTCAAGCCAATTCTTGTATTTCAAGCATTCTTCTTCATGTGTTCCCTTTTTCTTGCAGAAGAACACGAAATTTTGTAACCACTAGGATTACCATGTGCTTTACCCTTCTTCTTGAATTTTAAGACACCTTTGCCTTTCTTTCCCTTTCCTTTGAAATGTGCTGCTAAATGAGCACTTTCCAAATTCTCATTCTTCAACCTTTCTTCCTCTTGTACACACATTACTAAGAGTTCATTAATAGACCAATCTTCTTTATGTGTGTTATATGAGATTTTGAAAGGTCCATACTCATTAGGAAGAGAGTTGAGAATGAAAGTGACAAGAAATGACTCAGAAAATTCAATCTTAAGGGACTTAAGTTGAGAAGCTATATCCCGCATTTCCATAATATGTTCACGCACACCCTTAGAGTTATCAAACTTCATGCTAGAAAGTTTCTTCATTAAGGTGCTAGCTAATGCCTTATCAGATGTCACAAATTGTGCTTCAAGTGCTTTCATGAAATCTGTCACCTTAGTGCACTCAGGAATGGAACCCCTAATGAGTTTACTTATGTGGGTCTTTATCTGCATTAAGCTTAAGCGATTTGATCGCTCCCACTTTTCATAGAGGACCTTTTCAGAGGGCGTATTTCATCCGTAGGGACTGGTGGTTCGTCCATACGAAACGCCAAATCAATATCCATACACCCAAGTACCAACATTATCTTTTCTTTCCAATCAGAAAAGTTCTCACCATTTAACATTGGAACTGAGAGAATTATTAGCAAAAATAGTGAAACAGCTGCAATAACCAAGAATTAAAATCATGTCATGCTATTGTAAACATACTTTATATTTGAATCAACCAATGTCAAATTCAAATTATAAATTCAAACTTCCTTTGGGCAGAGGTTGCTAACTTGCATTGAATTTACACTATTAATAAGACTAACGAACATATATCACTCATAAACTAATCCATACCTTTGGGTCTAGGATTAGTCTAATCATGATGCTAATTCAGTGTCTTGCTCTAATTATGTACTAAGGTAATTACCTCCCTTTGGGGCGGGGCAATTATCTCTAAAATTTACATGCCATAAAGCCTTACGAATTTAAACAAAAATTATTTATGTGATTATTAACATGCCTTAGGATGCTTTGGCTACTCCTAAAACATTACAATATTCACTTCTTCAATATGGCAATAATAATAATATCAACTTAAACTCACGTTGATCATATCAAATATGCACAGAAAATTTAATTCAGCACATATATAGTAATATCAGAAACAGTTTTAATGCAACTAACTGAAAAATTCAAAACAGACTACAAAAATTTTAAAATTCCAGAACACATCACAAGAAGTAATGTAGCCCAGTGGTCAAGACATTTAACTCCCATTTAAGAGATCTGGGTTCAATCCACGGCAACAGAGTATTGCTTTTAACAATTAACATGACTGAATTAAAAGCATTCTTTGCAGAATACAATAAATTAAATTTAATCAAACAAAATGGCAAGCGCGTAAATCGGCCTGTGTGGTTCAGTGAGTCAAAAAAAACTCTTAACCACCTGATTCCAGGTTCGAGTCCCAGGCGTAAAATTTTTTTTTTTTAAAATAATTTAAATAACGACATGTCGTTTCCAAAAATTAAGAAAAACGACTTGTCATATCTTGAGGCCCAGTCGTCTTCAACCTTCAGCCGGGTCTGCAACCGGATACCCGACCAGAAACAACCCACTTCGAACCCGAAAATTTAAAATACCATAACTCAGTCAATTTAACTTCGTTTTAGACGATTCAAAAGCCCTTTTTCTCATAATTTCACAGGGAATTTAATTTTCTAACCAATTTAACCAAACAAAATTCCCAAACATGAATATGAGAGAATCAAAATAGAATAAAAAACATAATAAAATTACAGCATACTTCATCACTCTTAACACTGAACAATAAGCAAGAACCTGGCTCTGATACCAAAATGTAGAATATTACGTATGTAATATAATGCGGAATTAATCACTTACCTCCAGCCATATTGTTCAAGTGTATTGAATGATTTGTGAGTGAATATTTGAGAGATGTCTTCTAGCCTATGCCTCCAATCTTTATTCTTTCTTTGTATTTTCGTGATACGTCTTTGATGGAGAAGATATATCTTTTATATGGCTAGGCTAGGACCAAGTAACTCCCATCAACTGCCTTTTAACCTCCCATCAAGGATCAAATGAGGCAGTTAATAACTCTTTTAAACCACCTTGAACTGCATAATTGTGGCATGTGGCCACATCAAGTCTTACAACAATATCTTGCATTTAGCTGGAAAGTTGAGTCCACCTGAACAGCTTGATGCTATTTGTGGAGTAGCTCTGCAGCTACAGCAAGAGTTGATGTGGTTTGAGGTAAATTTTTACACCACTCTTTTTTCAATTTTGTGTAGTAAATAAAGTTTTTCTTCTGTTTGTTGATAAGATGTTTCATGTTTAATATTATTAAATATAGGAAGTGAGTAACATCGTGGATCCATCGAAAGCTCATGAAAAAATAAAAAGGAAGAAAACTCCAAAAGCTTTATTTGAAAGGAGCACGAGCAATTGAAGGAAAAGGGGGGCAATGGATGAAGGATACTGCAAATTCATGCATGATTGTGGCAACACTTATTGTCACTGTGGTTTTTGCTGCAGTTTTCACAGTACCAGGTGGCACCAATGAAGAGTCAGGAATGCCTCTTTTTGCCAATAACCTTTTTTTCAGAATTTTTGTCCTTGCAGATGCAATATCTCTGGTATTATCCGTTTACTGCCTTCTAATCTTCTTAGCTATCCACACTTCCCGATATGCGAAAAAAGATTTTCTTTTGGAGTTGCCAAAAAGTTGGTGCTTGGACTGTTGACACTTTTGCTATCAATAGCAGCAATGATGGTGGTTTTTTGTACAACCATTTTCATTGTCTTCAAAGTTGAAAAATTTGGGTTCGTATTCTACTATGTGTGAGTGCTGCTTTACCAGTCATCCACTTCGCCAAGATAAAGTGGCGACTCCTGTTTGATGTAGTGCGCTCAACCTATAAAATAGGTTCTATTTTGGATGACAAAGGGAAAAAAAAGGAAGCCTAATAAGTTTATGAAGGTAATATGTTTTAATTTCTGTTGGGACATACTGAGTGTTGGAAATGTATGGGTTGGGAATGCATGGATGTTTGTTAAGAAGATTATATATATTAATAAAAATTACTTTTCATTTCTATTTCTTTTAAGAATTTATTAACTTGTTTAAGAGAATTGTCTTTAAGTAAGTATTTTATTTTATCAAGTATTTACTTACCCTGTTGTTGTCATTATTAAAATAATTTGGTTATGAGACAATTCTTAATCGTCGAAGAGAAGAAGAGAGAATTTAGACAAAAAAAGGGCAACTCACAGAAAATCAATCAAGACTAAAATAAGACTTTTGTTAGAATTGTCAACTATTTCAACATTAATGGGTTAAGCAGACGCATTCAAGAGTCTCGCTGTCCGATGAGTGAGCGGGGGTCGTGGGGGCAGGTCCCGTTGACCAAAATAATTATAGCATATTTCACGCTGCTATTTTGAATCGTCAAAATACTCATTGACGATGTGGGTCCAACGTTTAAGAAATCAATACTTGAGATCAAAGATGTTGAAGAAAACAATATCTTACATTTGCCTTAGAATGATGCCACTGCTAGAACAGCTCAATAATGTATCAGGAATAGCTCTCCACTTGCAGCATTTAAGGTAAATATTTGCAGTTTTGTTTTGTGCATAGAAAACAAATTTGTTTCTTGAATAAGATTTTTATATCAAAAATGTATGAAGTGAGTCAGATTGTGGATCCAAAGTAGGCAAAAGCTAAAAATGCAAGTGGGAAAACTCCTAGAGATATATTATATGAGAAGACCACAACTTTAAAGGATGTAGAGGAAAAGTGGATGAAGGACACTGCAACTTCATGCATGGTTGTAGCAACACTTATTTCCATCTTGGTTTTTCCTGCAGCTTTTACAATGCCTGGCACCAAAGAAGAGACGGGTACTCCTAACTTCATTCAGAAACTTTCCTTTAGAATTTTTGTCATATCTAATGCAATATGGCTGGTATCATCATCTTGCTCTGTACTAACATTCTTATCCATTCTCACTGACCGATATGAAGATGAAGATTTTCATTATGTGATGCCTAGAAAGTTGGTTGTTGGATTCTCAAAACTTTTCTTGTCAATAGCAGCAATGATGGTAGTGTTTTGTGCAACTATTTTCATTGTCTTCAAAGATGGAGAGATTTGGATTCCTATTCTTGTTAGCATGATTGCTTCCTTGCCTGTCATTTTGTTCACCAACCAACAGTGGCGACTTCTTTATGATGTAGTGCATTTCCAAGACAAGTAAACTCTCCCTTTTCGATGCTGATGACGACGGCGAAGAGAAACCATGGAACCTTAAAAAGTGGAAGGCAACAGTACAGTGGACCCTAAATTGCAGCTAGTTTTGAATATAACATTAGTTTCTTGAAAGAACAGAGTATATAATATAAGTTTGTTCTACTTTTTGTGATTGAATTATCTTTCTATATATGCAGTCACAATTAGAGGTGGAAAAAATGGGCCGGGTTAGGCGGGTCAACCCTAACCCGGCCCGGTAAAAAGAGGGTTGAGCCCGGCCCTCCTTAATGGCGGGCCGGGTTGAGCCCAACCGCCAGCAACCCCCGGGCGGGCCGGGTTGCAAAAAGGCAACCCGCTGGCCCGCGGGTTGCTATTTTGTCCTCTCTGCAGGAGGACCGCAACCCGGCGGGTTGTGGGCGGGTTGGCAACAGCCAACCCGCCGGGATGGGCAAAAAAAAATTTTTTTTAAAAATGCAAAATTAATTTAGTTTTTTAAATTACACTTTTACCCTTAAAATATAGCCATTTTATAGCCGTTGGAGGGGTCTTTTTCGTCATTTTCTTTCCCCATTTTTTTCTATAAATTGGCCCTAAACTCTCATATNAACCGGCCACCACCTTTAAACGGTGGTCGTTAGTCGTCAAAATAGTGCACAATCAGTTGGATATGGCCTATCGTGTGTCAATCTTGCCTTTGTCGACCAGATCCATCATGGATCTAGTCGAAAAAGGCTAGATCTATGGCCAGATTTTTGGCCATCGTTAACAGTCAAGATATGGATGTCGCCAATGGCTAGATCTCTGGCTATAAATCTGACTGAAGCAAGTTCGGTCAAATCCAATCGGCCGTGTGTCATTCCAACGCCGGCGACTAGCGGTGGCAGTGGCAGTGGCAATGGCTACTTGCAGGTGATACTGGCTTGGGTGGGCGGGGGTGTTTTTGTTAATTTATAAACTTTTATTGTGAAAGGTAATTATTAAATGTTTTGAGTTGAATAAGATAGGAATAGATTTTGAAGAATATTAAAATAAATACATTTTTCATTTTTTAGCATAGGATAGTAAAATAGGATAGGGTGAGAAAAGTGTACCAAACGTAGCCTTTAGGGGGTGATTTATAAATTGGTTAATTAATTAGTAAATAAATATAAATGAATGGTTAATAAGTTATAAATTTAGGGTGTTTTTAATTTAAACTTTAAAGAGATAATTTAAATTTAACATAAATATAATATTCACACAATCACACAATCACACTTCACAAATAAACAATTAAATAAATTTGTTTTATTAAATTAATTTACATCATCCAAATCTGTGTTTTCAAAGATGTTGAGTAGTTTAGGATCTTCAAGATGTTGTTGTAGTCTTCTATCTACATGAGTTCAATCCCGTAAACATGTTATGACTTCAACCATCTCATTGGTTAACGAACATCTTCTGTCTTTAACAATGCGGCCACTAATTAAGAATGTTGACTCGGATGCAATTGTCGAAACTAGCACATGCCATTTGGGCTACAATGGCAAATTGACTTTGATTTTGTTCCACCATTGAAGCAGATCTATCTCACATTTCTCCTTCTTGGTCATGTTGGACATATCCATTTGTAGGTACCGATGCTACTCATGTAACACCCCACTTGAGATACGTAGCCATTGTTTATGGTATGGCCTAAAGGGTTACTGAATTGCTCCTACATGAGTTTGTATATTGTTCATGTTGTTTGGTTGGCCCTTGGTTGAGTTTATGTTTTGGGTTTGGTTAAGTGTTTACCCTGGAATTGATCAAGACTTGGCAGATTTGGGAGAAGCTTCGTCGCAGCGATGTTGGTTTTATGTTGGCGGTGTCGGTTCTAGATTGTTTCGTCGGGATGACAGAAAGTTCTTCGCCATGGCGACGGGACGACAGAAAAGTTCCTTGAGGTTTCTAGAGAATTCTCCATAGGGGTAAAATGACATTTCTACCCCTAATTAGCAGGAAAAGTGGGGAGTAAAATGTAAGGAAATTTCATGGAGAATAGTGTAAAATGGGGTGAGTTTGTAAAGAATTAAAGGATAAAGGTGAACATTTCAAGAAAGAGTAAGGGCAAAATGGGAAAGAGTGTATATTATATGAGCTAATAAGGGTTGAGTTCTCTAAACCCAATCATTTTTCACCCATTTCCACCGCCTCTTCATTACTCATTTTCTCTCAATTCCTCACTCAATTTTCCAAGGGATTTTTGAGAGTTTTGAGTTGGAATTTGACAAAGAAGTGATCCTAAGCAAGAAGAGGTAAGAATTCCTACTCTAGAGATGAGTTTTATTTATGTAAGGGTTAAGTTCTTATTAAGTTTATGCTTAGGAAATAAGTGAAAGCTATGGTCCAACAAGAGTAGAGAGCTTTAGTGGAGACTACTCAAGTATGAGGTAAGTAAATCCTAACCCAAGTTGAAATTGAGAATTCTCTTGAGTAGAGATTTAGTAGAAATGAGATATGCATGTTATATGTATGTTATTGAGAAATTGTGTAGAGATATATGCCTACTTGTTGAGGAATTAAATTGAGACGAGTATTCATGTTGAGTTGTTGGATACTTCTCCTTTATAAGGAGTGTAGATGTGTGATGATTTGAGATGAAGTTAGATGAGATTGAGTATGTATTTTGGGAGTGTTCTTCTATGGTAGGGATTATGCCCATGGAAGGGAATTTACTTCCAATTTTGGATGGTTTAAGAGAGAAATAGAGTTGTAGTTAGAGAATAGTTTTTATATGCACATGAGTTGTTTGATGAAATGCCTAAGAGAAGCATGAGAATGAGTTATGAACCTTAATTATTGCAACATTGCATATTGGCATTTCCTAAGTGCATTAATGAGCATAAACCATCCATATGCATTAAGTGTGCAGTGAGAAAGAACTTGAGAAAAAGTTGAGAAAGAGTAGAGAATTACTCTAAGAGTTAAGCTACATTATGATAAGTAGTTAGAGAAAGAGTAAAGATCTTGTGCACAAGTGTTAAAGAAGAGAATAGAGTAAGTTGTGTGATGGGGAACCTGTGAGTGATGAGTAGAGTCATGAGAGTGGGTACTTTGTGATCCCCAGCCGTGCCTCCGGCAAGATGGGGCCGTGACATTCAGAGAGAGAGAGAATACACTCACGTGGCCAAAGGTTCCGAATCCATGCATGATTAAATCCGATCGACAGAGAAATGAGCAGAAGTCACGTAGAGTGGTAGCGCCCAACCGTGCCTCCGGTCAGATGAGGTCGTGACATTCTAATGAGTTAGAAAGAACAGAAAGAGAAAAAGAGTAAAGTCACAAAAAGCGGGTTAAGTTCCCGGCCGTGCCTCCGGTAAGATGAGGCTGTGACATACACCAGAGGGTGTATAGCAAAGAATATGAGAAACAGAAATAGAAAGAGAACAGAGATGAGAAAAGCTAAGAGTTAAGCTATATTATGAGTACCAGCTTGAGAAAGAGATGAGCAAACATGAGAAAGAATAATGAGAGACAATGAGTAGGGTTACGAAGAGTGGGATGAGTACCCAACCATGCCTCCGGTAAGATGAGGCCGTAACCTACAACAGAAAGTTAACAGAAAAGAGTTATGAGAAAGAAAGACAGAAAGAGAATCAGTTTAAGTCACGTAAAGTGGGAGAAGTCCCGGTTGTGCCTCCGATAAGATAGGGTCGTGACATTCAAAGAGCGAGTTAGTAGAAATGAATTATGAGAAATGAGAATAAGGTAATAGAAAGAATTAAAGAATGAGAAAACTTGAGAAAGCTTGAGAAAGAATGAGATAGAAAAAGAAAGTATGAGAAAGAATGAGAAAGTTTGAGCTAGTAAGAATCGAGAGTAGAAGAAAGAAACATGTAGCTCTTTTGCATTAATTGCATGTACAGCTCATACAAGCATGCACCATGATTTTCCTTCATGATGAGTATGATGAGAATAAGAGAGAATCATGATTTTTCTTCATGGTGAGTAAGAATAAGAGAAGGAGAAAAGAGAATAAGAACAGAGAGAAAGAAAGAATAAAAAGAGCAAAACAGAGTTAAAGGAGAATAACAGTATTAAAAAGAAAGAGAAAAACAGTAAGAATTAGAAATAGAAGAACGGTAGAGTAAGGAAAGAACCAAAGAGTGAGTTGCGGGACAGGTAGTAGAGGATTTACTTACTGAACATTGGTGTGCTCACCCCGTTGTTCTTCTCTATTTTGCAGGAAATAGGAGCAGCGGTCCGATGGACGTCGAGGTGCGGAGAGTATCGGCACCACTATCCACCAGCTATGATATTTTGTATTAATTAGAAAGTTTTTAAACCATAGTATTTTGTATTTGTAAAGAATTATGTTTTTATGAGTAAAGAAAAATTTGAGCCCACTGTCTTTCATACGTTATGTATATCTATAATTTACATAGTATATATTATAAGAATAGTAGTAGAGAGCAGGTGTTACAACTCACTTGGTCCATGTTTCTATGAGCTGGAGCTACTACTTCCACCGCCATCGCTATTTAGATCCATATACATCCCATGCTTTATCGTTGTTGATAAATGTCTTCATTAGGGTCCTGCTAGTCATCTCTACTGGGCGTTCCATTGTACCAAGTCTGATATACAGAAAAAAAAAACTTTCCAATTTTATGTTAAAGTTTATCTAATAAAAACTATAGTCATGATCTAAATACTAGCCTATCTTAGTAACCATACATTTAAATACGTTTAATTTATACCTAGGATCTATAATAAGACCTAATCCATATAAGAATGGAATATTTAACCAATATTTTCGATATTTTGCTTCCATTTGTGAAACAATGTCGCTTAAATCTTCATTATATTTATGTTTAAAACAAGTTTTATAAATTTGAAGTAAAATATCTAACACTACATTAGTAGTAAGATAATAAATACCGTTTAATGTATTAGTAGAATCATAAAAAACTTTAAGAAATGAATGAAAACATTGCAAACCATCCAATCATCATCGTTGATCACTTCGTCTGGATAGTTCATCTA